ATCCCAGCTATGCGTTGAGTATTCTGCAATGCTCAACGCAGTACATTGGGTTCGCAAACGCCATCACGTATGGCTTCAACGAGCATCTCAAGACGACGCTGAGACGCGACTTCGTCAAGTGGTGGCGGGCGCGGCGGAGTTGAGGTGGTTTTTACACGTTTCTTCTTTATTGGTTGGTTACGACTTTACAAAGATTTAATATTCATGCTATATACCTCACTAGCACATGTGACGAGTGTTCCACGTTTCACATATACGCGCATGTGAATATAATCTGACCGAGGTATCTCGACCAGGCAAGGCGGTTTCGATGCGCTGACTCTTCGTCGTCATTTTGAGTCAGCTGCGGATTCATGTTACATCGTGAGTGTGTGCTTGCGCGACCGTCATCGGGGCTGGAAACGATGCGTGTTGCAGTCCACCAAAAAGAGATCTGAAGGTAGAAGTATACATGACCTTAGGAATTGTTCGGTCGTCGGAATTTGATAGTACATGTGCGACATGCACTTCAGCCATCGTTTGCCAACCTCAACATTTGACATTCGGAGAGAAGACCACACAGGTTCTCCAACTCCTGACAATAACAGTGATACTACTCGCTGTTGCGCACAGTAATACCTGCTCTCCAGAATCCCACTACTCTCTGTAGTTCTCGAATTTCCTCTTCTTCTGCACTGAGGGATCGTTTTCGGCAAATCCATACGATGAGCACCGTTTGCAGTCCTTCCAGTATGCTCGCATGGCCTGCGCTTGCGGGGTCATTCGTCCAAAGCTCGTACGAAGCCCCCGTTTTGCCTGTTAGAACGAACTGGATCGCCCGGATAGCATCGCGCTTAGAAGACGACAGCGGAAGTATGAAATGTGATAGGCTAAACGGAGTCCTGGAAGAGAAGACGTTAAGAGAAAACGGCAGCGTGGAGGCCTCGTTGTAGATCTGACGACAGACGAGATGTAGACGGGGGACGCTGCCGACTGCATAACCGCGAGACGAGATATCGTAAGTCTGACCGCCCACAGCGTATCTGTCAAGGGGGAAATATGTCAGTACGACTATTGTAGAACCCGTAGACACACGCGCCAGAATCTACGCACCCATATATTTGATTGCGCAGCTCAGCCGGAAGTCGTAGGAGAGGCGACTCGGTAGAATTGCGTCTAGATCTGATTTTGTTAGCTCTTTAGACTAGAACAAGCCAATTGGAAGATTTAGTGCTGATGTAGGCTCCAGAGTGCTCAGTATTTTCCTTGCACGAGGTGCAACTACTACTACTACTACTGCGTCTATTCCAGCCCGTTCTGACCTCAATATCTAAGTATGCAGGCTATCCTTTTTCCACGAAGTAGAACTGTGGTTGATGGTATCTTGGATGTGTCTTCGCGAACCATGGTGCCCCTGTGGCCACTCAAGGTGCAACGGGTACTCACATCTCGTTTGCTTTGAACGTTGAGATCGCCCTGTCTGGCCAAATCTCTCTCGTCGGCTTCGGGGCCTGAGTCATGTTGTCGAACATCCTTGGTTTTGGCCTCGCCATCTTTTTCGGAGCGCGTCGACCGATCGATAGGAAATGACAAGAAAGATAGAGGGTACAAGGTGACAAAGAGAGATCCAGGGTCCATTGCGCTAGCCTCATACAGACCCGCTCGCTCACTGACTAGGCAGAGACAATCTCTCACCTGGGTACAGTACTAGCGTATTGGCCGTCACCACGAGATAGAGAAGAACCCTCCAACACTACTTCTGCTTGTTACTCCCAACTACTTTATAATAACACCCTAGCCCGTCTCTTACGGCAATGGCGCATATCTATCAAAGCTCTACAAAGCGTCACACCTCTCGTGTAAATACATCAACCATGGCGAGCATCTGCCCAACCACATTTCGGCTATCCAAGCAAGGCGAGATCCGAAGATTCCGGAAGATATATACGAAGCTCATGATGGAACCGAAGCTGGAGCGCATGCCTGAAGTCGACCAAATCAAGATAGCAGAAGCCATCTACCGAGGCAAGCTACGTCTCTACGACAACGGTATGCTGGATACTACACCACGTACATCCGATGTTATAGCCACGTAAGTTCCATTGCATTGGGGAGTCTCGCTACTTACTGACGTCTTCAAGTACCCACCGAAACAGCGTTACCTCACCCCTACTCCGTCTTCCTGCCGAAGTGCGTAACAAGATCTTCTCCTACGTCAACAGTGGTCTACAAATCTATATGAGATCTGGACCCAGCTTCGCGCCTGTCATTTACATCAAGAACGGCAGTCACGCGAATGCAACTTTTGAGTATCGACCATTCCTTAGTCCCCAGGGAATCTGCCGTCAAATCTATAGTGAAACAGCGCTACTTCCCTTCACCACGAACGAGTACTGGTACTTCACCAAAAACTCGCTGGATATTTGCAAACACTTTTTTTGGGGTCAGCAATTGCAATGCATCCGCTATGTCTCCTTCGCTATTACGATTATAGTGGGGAAATTTGACCCAGTAACCGGGAACTTCGATGCGGGAAGGCTGGACGGCTTGAAAGTCTTCCCCGATCTGCAAGAGGTCACTATCTACTTGAACATGGAGCATCCAGAGGCTGAGCGTCGGTTCGAAGGCGTGAAGACGTTTCTGAAGGGTTATCTGAAGGAAGTGGTATCTGCAGGCGTGAAGATTGTCTATGAGCACCGCTATCGGGAGGTTGACTTTGTCCTCTGGCCGACAAGCCTTGGGCGCCGAATTCGGGGACCAGAATCTCCAACGTTGATGATTCAAAGATCGGCTTGATCCTTTGTCCCTAGAATATGGTGGATTAGGAAATGAGGGTATTCTGTCAATTTTCCTTGATCATACAAAGTGGCACATTACCTGTACACTATGAAGACTACGTAGTCGCTTTTGACTATAGTTCAAAGGTTATGCTATACGAGCTTGAAGTGTACGTCAAAGTTAACCTTCCGGCTATTACACACTAAGTGAAGTCGGATATCCTAAAGTACTAACGCCACATCTAGTACGTCGTGAGCCGTAGTATTGCTTATGAAGCAAGTTGCAAAGCATGTCTCGGTAATCCATTGGTATTTTTTGAAAGACGTGAGGTGTTACATCTTGGCTATCAGTTAATATTGCCTGATTATAGACCGATACGTATATCGACGACGCTTATGTACAGGTACCAACTAACTGTCAGCTCGTACCACTCAACTTCTAAGCCAGATCTTACATCTTCACACTGATTGGAAAGATCACACATTACAGCCTGAGTCACATTGATCACACGTGCATTGCAATTTGTCGGATAGTAAGGTTTCATTGCCGTCAAAATCCTCCATGAAAAATTGCTCTTGCGTACATAATCATCGCATACATTCCCAGCCCCGGACGATAATTTATCCATTGGTTCATCCCAATTCGAGCAGATGCGTACCGAGGTATGAGGGAGTATGTCGCCCTTTATTCCTTGTAAGGACTGTTGCTGCCTACATCACAGGAAACATATTAGCAATGAGCTCCCTAACATGACACAAACCAAGATAGATATTTGACTCACATCCTCTCACCGTGTACAACTTGCCATACCAGTTGTACGACCCGGAGTGGTTACCAAGGCCTGCGCCCTCGGGACGGCACTGGTTCAGAATGTTTTCGAACGCGTCCCAGCACCTCTGCTGATCAAAGCCTCCAGGCCATGAGAGTCTGCCTCCACCAGGAGCATGGTAATAGCCATCGTTCTTGTACAGTCCGTCACCGCAGACGTGTTGACGAGCAGCGTAGAGCTGGTTGCGACTCGAGGCGGGGACGGCGCCGCAAAGTCCGTAGCCTCCGCATTCGGCGGCAGAGACGACAGCTCCTGAGAGCATGACGCCGACGGCGATGATGGAGTTGAAGTGCATCTTTGTGGTTGTTTGGAAATCGAGGAGAGGAAGTGAAGGTTCTTGGATAAAGGTTGCTTATTTGATGATGAGAAGGTATAGTGTGGATTGAAGCCTACTTATACTTCGACCGCGTTCACGACTTCTCATATAGATACACCACCCCATACTCCACTGACCTACTGGAATGCGAGATCGACTGCATAGCACGCCCTATTTTCCCAAAAGGTATACATTGCGAAACCTACAAACCTCAAACTTGCTCAATCAGGCGAAGGCACGAGAAATCACCGCGCCATCCTCGCAGCCCATATGCAGACATCTCCAGAACTAGCCCGCCACAGAAGGTGTACATCAAGCTCAAAGTAATCATTCTCGTACAGCGAGATATTGAGTTCAGCCACACCAAGCTAAAGTGCGCTTGACCATCCTATTGGTGGGCAGCAATCCGGACTGCCTTCCGTAGCCGCTGCCATATGCGGCCCGCGCCTTCTACTACGCAAAGCTTGGCCGATTGCAGTGATGATTTCCAAGAGTTGTGCCATAGAACAGGTACGGGGTCATCCGATCGTACCCACCTACCTGGGTACGGCAACGTGCATCATTTCAAGTGCCAAAGAGGCAGGTGTAAGTTGAACGGAAGAGGCACCGAGCTACGTATTCGACATCACATGCAACTGACAAAATGCAACCGCGTCGCAGAAGCCCGCATGTTCGCCAAAGATTGCTCAAACGGTCTTGGCTATCGTGTACTAGACTGCGGGCTCGGCTATCGGCATCGTAGCAAGTAGACCGCAACATCACTGCTAGCTGACTAGACCGCATGAATACGAGGACAGCAGACCCTTTGGCCCCGGATGCATTGGAAGCCGCCCTGGCGCGTCCCACTTCGTAGCTGTCAGAGTCTAGCGATCTTGATAAGTGCGGGGATGGAGAAACTGTTGAACCCGTCGAAATTGATCCTGGAGGAGGGGATCTTTGCGGGGAGAGCACCGGGGACATGCAGGGTGTGTTTGAACACTACTTATCTATGAGGCGATAAGAAAAGAGGCAAGGAATGGTTTATTGCCCACATGACGTCTTAGCCTCATCATTCCTGGTGAACGCACTCTACCGCGGCGACTACATCCACCTATCTTATCATGCCTTGAAGACGATCGTCACTCCCTCTGCGCACAGCACTTTCTCAAGCCTCTTAACCAGTTTATCCTTCATCAGCTGAAACCTCTCATCAGTGATGTCTCTCCAACTCCCCGTGTAGCCCGCATAGACATTGAATACAATCCTCCTCAATCCCACCAAAGGCGCCAAAGCCTCCACTTGCAGGATATCAGTATCGGTAATGTCTCTTCCGAGATGCATTGAAACGATACGAATGGCGTTGAACTGTGCAGGCATCAACTTACGCCACCACTCGTTTACATCGCTGGGCATCGGCGAGTGTGTAGGCCTGTACCAGAAGTTGTTGATGGCGAAGGGAATGAAGCGCGCTTCCGCATATGTCGAACGACAGACGCACAGGATAGTTAGAGGGTGTTTGATGTATTGGTCTGAGTCATGGGCCATTGCGAGCGGCCTTTCGGGTTGAGTGTTGAAGATGAGGTAGCTTCCGAGGACATATTCCCAGATATAATCCCGCAACTCTCGAGGTAGAAGTAGCAAGGGTGAGAACCGCATGTTTCTCTCGGTGCTGAATTGTTTAGTATTCGGTTCTGTACTAAGAGGGCTGTATTGTGCTGAACCCGTTGTCGGCTCTACTTACATGGCTTCGTATTTGCCGAATGGTGTCACATTTACCATATCGTCCTGGAGGCGATGTACCGATGGCAAATAGCCGTGTCCCTTATTGCGAATCATTGCGTTGGCAGCGCGGGTCTCGGGTTTGGGCCTGACTGTTTTCGTGTTTCCGCTTCGTACAGTTCTGACGGGCTTGACGACTAGCACCGTCAGGGGCCTCCCAACTGCCACCGCGAAACTTTGAAGAACGTCGATGTCGCTGAGAGCGTTGATGTATGAGAAGTTAAAATGAGAAGATTCATATGGGGAATGAAAAGACTTCGGGTCAGTAGCAGTTCCGTGTATTTAGCGAACCCATACATCAGCGCCCACGCCTCCGTTCCACGGTACTACAATGACCTAACGCTAATGGGCTGCGCAGGATCTCTGAAGCTCACACCACACTCGCACCAATAGTTGATCTCGATAAAGAAGTATGGTCAAACTGAGAAACCTGCCGTGTGTTCCATGACGTGTGCTTGAAGCGTGATATCGAAACGCGGAAGATCGCACAAAATACACCAAACCTTCAGCATTGAATCTGATTTCAATGTCGTGTCTTGCTATCAAACAATTGCAGCCATCTCGCTGAAGTCTGTTCGCTTTTCCTCGCCCAAGCACATGCATACGCTCTCTGTGAAAACGAGAATACGATAAGTGGTATCGCCCCTCGGTCATGTACTGGAGGTAATCAGCAAGTGACATAACAAATGCTTTGTGGTACGAAGTACCTCCAGAACCATTTATTCCAATCACACCGGTATCATTGTGATTTTGAGATCGGAATTACCCCATATGCCCATCAGCTTGTCTTCGATAGCTTTGCGCAGTGCAGGATCAGCCCAGCACTGGCCGCCGCACTCATCGTCGCTCGGGCACCAGACTTCAAGAGACTTCAAATTTGGAAGGGAGCAGATGGGAGCATCCAGCTCGTCGCAGAAGATCGTAAATCGCTGCACTGCAGCTATCTGACCGGGTAGCTGTTCTTTGAGCCAAAGTTCAATTAACCCGACATCGTCGAACATGAAAGAGTTGAGGCTATAGGGTAGCAAACAAGCTTCAGCATGTATTTGTCTGCAAACTCGAAGTATATCCAATTTGGGGATTAGGTCGGTTGGCAAACTCCAAAGCCATATAGTGTCAGCGTATATAACTTCGGACCAGATTTTGTTCCGTATCTCTGGGGGCAGGCGCAGCAATCCTGACTCGTTTGCATTCCGCTGAGCTCTTATGGCACTATCAGCTAGACCTAAACATCGTGAACTTGCACTTACATCGTAAGATAGTAGCTGTTGGGAGTAGCACCGAGCATTCCGTTCTTTGGCTTCTTGGTGCTCATGTGTTTCCTCGCAGCTTGCGACTTGGCGCCACGCTCGGGCTGGCGCCTTTTTGCGCTGCTTGGTGTTGACATGACGTTGTTTGGCGGGAGGAGTCGCGCCCAAGAGTAGGAGCTCTGGCCTCGGAGTGCACACGGAAATAGTGAGGAGCGGAGTGAGGAGCTGTGAGAGGATGTGTAGAGCTCAGGCGATGGGTTGCAAAAGCTTGTGGGTGAGTAAGAGCACGGGCACTCCCGATGAGGTGAGAGCAAGCAGCTTGTGCCAAGACAGCGCAGTTCATCGATATGGAAGGGGCGTGAGGCTGCACTGACTTGTGATTAGTCCACCTCGAATCATCCGCGCGCTCGGACGGCGTCAAGGTAATAGATCCATCACTCACTCATTCCAACATCTAGTCTTCATTATCCATTGCACAAACTATCCTAGTGCATATGCGTATATACCATCCATTGACCCAAACGCCTAACCTCCCCTGGGGTATATTCCATATACATATTTACCAATGGACCCAAAAACGGTAACAGTAAACAAAAACAACAGACACGCCGATGCCAAAGCACATGCTAGTAATACCGCTTCCATGCAAATTCCGACTCCCTAACGCCATCGTGGTATACATGCCCAACACCGCCATAAACCGCAACGTTGGAGACCGACCGCCCATTTCATGACTCCAAACTGCTGAAATCGTAATGCCATCTCTTTCATACGCCATATGGTTTCACGCTCGGCCCGACGGGCACAGCGAGCGTAGCTTCGTCTGGTATCTTCTTGTTTCCGAATTTGCTTGCCAGCTCTTCGATTTTGGGGATTAGCTCGCCGATTCTAAACGGCTTGCTGACGACGTCGTCCATGCCGGCTGCGAGCAACGTTGCGATTTGTTCGCTGCGTGCGTTGGCCGTGACGGCGATGATGGGGACGTGTCGCTTGAGTTTGCCTTGCTGTTCGAGAGAGCGGATTTGAGAGGTGCATTGTAGACCGTCCATGACTGGCATTTCTTTGTCCATGAGCACCACCGATATGTCTTCTAGAGGGGACTGCTGGGGCGAGGCCCAGAAGGTGGACGCTTTGAGCGCTTCAAGTGCTTCGCCGCCGTGGTTCGCGACGGTCGTTTGGATGCCATGATTATGGAGCTGCCGCTGAAGTACTTTTTGGTTTACTATATCGTGTTAGTACGAGTATGACGGCAGGGGAAACGTCAAACGACATACCAAGGTTATCCTCTACGATCAAAACTTTGAGTTCTCTCTTCTTTGGCGTCGGCTTTGACGCAACGCCATCTTTGACAGGTATGGTCGCAAAGTCTTTTATCTTAGTCGCAATCTTGGACGGCACAGGCAATTCCCTCTTGCCCTTGTCCTTCGCATTCGAAACTTTCCTAGACATTGAAGGCGTTGGAAGGACTTCGAGAGCTTCCTGTGGCTCGCTGCTTCTCCGACACTTGACGTAAAAAGCAAAGGTACTGCCTTTGCCTGCTTCAGAAGAAACGCCAATCTCGCCACCCTGGAGTTCAGTCAGTTCGCGTGAGATGAACAGACCAAGGCCTGAGCCGCCGTATTGGACATGCGTTCGAGGGCTTGCTTGGGAAAATCGTTGGAAGAGGAGCTTCTTTTCTTCCGGCGTAAGACCTCGGCCTGTGTCTCGCACTGCAAACTCCAGATAGATCTCTTCACCATCGCCCCAGTCCGGACCGCAAGTTTGATCGGTCCTCTTTGCTCGCATGGGGAAGTAGCTAACGGTGGGATGATCGCTGGCTGACGGTCGCTCTCTCGATGCTGATAATACGACTTTGATGGTCCGGGTCTCCTCGGTGGTAGTGAACTTGATCGCGTTGGTGGTGAGATTGATGAGAACTTGGAGCACCCGAGACGGGTCAATCTTCACCCAGTCGACACCCAATTTGGTGAACGAGTCGGTAAGGACAAACTCCATCTGGATGCCAGCCGTTTGAACTTCTCCTTCGAACATTTTCAGGGCGCGCTGTACCACTTGTAGAGGTTGAGCATCGACCGGTGTTACCTGACGCACTTGTTAGCAAAGATGTCGCGAATGTCAAATCGTATTCGTACCATTAGCATTGCGCTGTCGAGCTTTGACAAAGTCAAGACATCGTCGACAATGCGCTTCTGATGCTGCGCACACAAAGCAATCGTCTGCGCCGCATCTATAGAATCGGCCAAAACAGTCTCGTCGATGACATTGGAGCCTGACGCTCTGAAATCGCCCAGGATGGTGCTGATCTCGTCGGCACATTGCAGGATGGCAGAGAGTGGATCTAAATCGTAGTCAGTATGAGAAGAATTTTCGTACACGGCAGTATCATACTTCTCATCTCATGCGACGTAATGTCGATAAAGTTCTCCTGCTGTCGTTTGAGCTCAACAGCTTCCTCCATTTTCCGCTTTTGGAAACCCTCGGCCCACTTCTGTGGAGAGATATTCGTGATGCTTCCGAAAACACTCTTGAGCTGCCCATCCTCATCTTTCTCGGGGTACGCCTGGAACAAGACCCACGTTTCGCTCTTGTTCCGGTTGCGGTCCTCCCAAGGCGCTTTGAATCGGAACTCTATGTTGATAGGAGTGGTGTTGTTTACTAGTTCCTTCCAGTGCGCAAGAATGAGGTCTTGATCCTCGTCTTTGACATAGTCAATCCATCTGTCGGTCATCTCCGGCTCTCTTGGCACTCGCGCAATCTCATACCACGTATCGTTGCAGTAGGTTATGCGCCCGACGTGGTCAGCAATGAAGAGACCCGCAGGAGACAATTCAGCCATCCGCGTAAATCTCGTCTCGCTTTCCCTGGCTTCTTGTGTACGTGCAGCGAGCTGTGTAGAGAGGTTGTAACGGTCTTCCGCTGCGAGCCGGGCTGCCCTCTGCCCCCTTCGGATTTCTTCCTCGAACAAAACGACGGAAGCGAGAGAGGTCGCGAGTTGGCGACTCAATAGCTGGATGAAGAGGTTGTAATCGTCATCGTAAGGCCTTCGCGGATTTATGCCCATGACTAAGAAGCCAAGTATGTTTTCACCAGTCGTAGGATGGATCGGGCAGATGACCACGTCGCGGCAGGGATCTCCAAAACCTCGCCATTCGAGTCCGTCCATCATGGAATGTGGCAGGTCGGCTGATCCGATGCTAACAACCACGGGCTTGTCGGTCTTCATTACTTCTCGGAAAACCGGCCCGAATCCTTCTTGCCCTTCTTTCAAATCAATGTGGTCAGGGGCAGCTTGATGGCCGGCTGGCACACCAAGCGAGCCCTCGAGAAAACACTGTTTCGAGCCAAGCAAGCTGCTAGATTGCAAGGAAGACGAGTCACTATCATTCTCATCGTTTACGCTGTAGAGCATTACTACCGGGGTATCGAACTCGTTCTCGGTGAGTGCTATTAGCACTTGATCCCAGAAACCCTTCACTTCCCGAGCGGTGGCAGTCCGTTCGCCGACTTCGCGGAGAGTGAGCATTCGCCTTTCCGCAATCTTCCGCCGTGTCTTTTCGAAAGCTGGGTTGTAAAGACCCATGACCGTGCCGTCTTCGCCGACCATTGGGATGATGGACCACGAGAAGTACGTTTCCTCAAGGAAGCCGCTGCGTTTCATAAACAAGCAGTCGTCGTCCTTCATAGTTGCTTGCCCTGTGAGACGGGCGTTTGCGAATACTCCCTTGACCTCATCCCAGATTTCTGCCCAAGCTACTCTGTAGCTCTGGCCCATGAGCGCAGGATGCTTCTGCCCTGCAAGCCCTGATCGAGATGTTAATTGATGTCTGAATGTCAGTACGCGGGTACTTACCAATATAGGCTTCGTTGTAGATAGCCACAAGCTCTTCTCCCCAGTACATGGCTGCAGGATGGGGACTCGCCCTGATCACCATTAGAATCGGAGTTCAAGTGTTCCGCGCCATAGTAGTCAACTCACATGATGAGATTACACATTGCGCGAAGGTCGTTGGACCAGTATTCGATGGGACCCAAGGGTGTAGATGCCCAATCGATTGAGCGGGCAAATTGGATGTGTCGAGGAAGAGAGGACGATATGGCTAGTCTGGTCCAGTCGAAGAAACCCATGTCGTGGTGCTCATTTCGGTGGGTGTTAGTTTCTCTATGAAACGGGTCAACGTCGCCTGCAGTGTGAGCTCGCAATACGCACTCGTTCCCAAAGGAAGAGGAATCTTCCGCTGCGGATAGGTCGATCTGAGATAGCCTAGGAATCATGCTATTGCCTCTGTCGGCGAACTTCTTGTAGTTTGGTTCAGGCTGGGGCGCGGAGATGGGAGGCGTCGGTTCACCCTGGGGGATCGTAGGAATGGTGCTCCCGAAATAATCTTGCGGTTCGCCTTGATGGGTTGAGGATACGGAGGCATCCCCGTTGGCTCCAGACTCAAGGCCTGCGGACGAGGTTGAAGGTATAGCGAAATCGTTGGGGCCGTCTACAGCGGGCAAAACTATGGCAGGGACGGACACTGTACCAGAAACGACGCGCAATCGTTTCCGCAAGGTGTAACAAGTCCATACGATGCCACCGTGTTCTACCGGGGAAGGATTCGCCCCGGAACCATCTCCCTGGACTGCAGTGCTCAACAACCATGCTCGAAATTGTTGTGTTGCGTGCGCCGTGTCATGGTCGGAGGGAGCGCCCGCAGGCTTGCCAGCTACCAGCTCCCAGGTGGAGGAGTCTAGTCGGAGGGCACTGTTGGAGAAGAGTATCTGCAAGCTGGACGATTCGGGAACGTAGTTTGCAAAGTCGCCCGTGTCGACGATGAAGGTTGGCCGCTCATCCTGCTCGAGCAGCTCGACTATGCCGATGGATCCCAGTACGCGCAACGGATCATGCTTGTCGCGCGAATCAGGCGATGCTGCGGGGGGCAGGCTTGAGCGCTCTGACGTGCGCCCGCTGGCAGCGCCCGAGGGGCCTGGGGGACTGAGGCCGCTGAAGGTGCCCCGTGCGAGTGTGACGGTCTTGATGCCACTGTCCTCGCGTGTTTTGCTCAGCATCCTGTAGGCCTCGGAGGTGGAGAAGCGTGCGGGCAGCTGCGGTCGGATACTGCGCGACGAGGAGAAGAACAGCGGCGAGGGTGGCTGGCCGTCGAGACGGAACTGGGCGCTCTTGGAGAAGCCGAAGTGGTCGAGCGAGTGTCGCGAGCGTGGGTGCGCTTTTCGGCGCTTGTGCAGGGGCTCGCTGGCGGGTGCTCGTAGGTGTGGCGATGTAGGCGCGAGGGCGTCGTCGGTGGAGGGAGGAGCAGGGCGCTTTATGCCAATGACCTGGCGAGCGCCGTGCGCAGAAGCCGGCGGCGGAGTGCAATGGCGACGGTCAAGCGGCGACTTGGGCGTCCATGGAGGCTGCAGTATGGCCAAATTGGATGTTTCGTCGAGGGCGCTGGGCGGGTCCGGGGTTGTGGGTGACGTAATTGGAGGCTCGTGATACAGGGCAAACTTCAGCCTGCGCTGCTCGGGCGTGGTGTCGTGATGGTGAGGCGTCGCCGTGTCAATACCTGTGAAGATGGACCGCGGCTCCCTCATAGAAATGCTGGGATGCGAGGCGACAGGCAGGGCGAAAGCCGTTGATGGCGGCCGCACGTCACGCTGCAACGTCAAAGGTCGGTGTGGTGGAGCGTCGTCTCGAGATCTAGCATGCAGTCTCACCGCGTAGGGGCCGAGTCGATGACACCAGGGAACGACGGACGTTCGAGGGCGGCTTCTGCGATGGCGAGGCTGGGCGGGTCGGTGTGCAGCTGCGCGGCGACGGTAGCGATGACGGTGGGATGCGGTGGGTGTCGTGTCCTCAGGGCATCATCGTGATGGAGACAGTCGCTCTGCACATTTGTTTTCAGCCGTCGCTCTGGTGCAGCCAGCGTACAGGACCTCGGGAGCGTCCAGAGCTGTAGATCTCGCTTGCGCGCGTGCTTGGCCCTCCCTGCAACACCCTGGCCAGCCCATCGCCATCGAGATCGCGCTCACCATCCTCTCGTGCCTAGCTTCACATTCGACACGCCCTGGACAGCTATGACGCCGTGCATGGCATTCTGACATGCCCATCTGTGCCATCTGCAGCAGCTGGAATGCTGTGGACCGTCAGTGCACCGCTGCTTTGGCGACTGTGCCGGTCCCCACGTCATGCATCTGACGGGTCTAGACTCGAGCCTCAGACCCGCACCCATTCAACACATGACCCTCTGCATCGTCGCAACCTTGAACCTAAACTTCGAGAAGCCCAAGATTTTGGAATCGTCGACTTGGTTTCTTCTAGCTTGTAATTCTCTTCTAGGCATACACTAATAGATGCTTCTTTCCGCCGTGTGCTGATCTGTGTCGGTCGCCCCTTTCTAACGATAGTACCTCCATTCAGCTCACGGTACGCGAACATCGCCAAGCCTTCCCTCCTCTTCACCACCTGCTACCCATCTCATCGTCTGCCGGGAGAGACGAGATAATCGCACTGCACAACTTCTCGGTTGATTCTCGGCACCTCCGAACCATGGGTGAGCTTGTTGTGCCATTCCCACGTGCGCGCACCGTTCCGCGTCCGGGCCCGGGCCGACCTGATGTTTTCGAGTCATAGTCACGTGACCGTCTGTCATTCTCTCCAGGCACTGTGGCCGCGCCCATACGACCCATCACCGTACCTGCCACATCAGCTGCGCAAACAGTATCATCAAGGTTTGAAGCAACTGCGCATGCAGCCCATCTTTTTCGTCACTGGACTTGCCTCGTACTCATTCAAAGCATTCCGTTGGCATTGAGAAGCCTCGCCGCTATCGCCTGCCACCACCCGCGCTTGCAACCACAATTTGAAAACATGCGCGGCGGTGCAACATGGTTGAGGTCATCGCATCTCCGAGTGACATCATGCAGCATGCGACACTTCGTGTTTGCAGATATCGTGGCACGATGGGGGCACAAGTCGTCTCGGCTGCAACTGCCTCGAATTTTAGCCACCGTGGCAGGGCATTAATGGCGCATGCGTCGCCAATCCCAGCCACACCACGCTGTGCCATCCACGCCTGTGGATAACGATCCCTTGCTTCCGTACTGGAGCAGAAATTTTACACTCTTGAAATTGAGTACTGCGATCAGATCGGAAAAAAACGAACTGGAACACCGAAATCAATCAGAACTGTCCTCGATTGATCGTCGCATGAGGTCAATGAGCACATCTCCACGACCCGACACTGAACGCGCAGCGAAGCGGCCCTCATATATCCACGCCAAGCTTCACTAATAGAACTCTTGCAAACCATGGAGCTCCGGCTAGCCGCCAGACGTATCAGGCCGGTTCATCACCCCACTTTTCCTGCCCGCCTGTCAGTAGAGTGGTCAGCTTCGACATGCCCCTCCACTCGAAGCCGTGCTGCTTCCCCTCATGCCATCTCCATCTGGCCAAGCATGTACAGCATGAGTGATTTGCTCAAAGACAACTGGGGCAGTGCGCTCCGGGGCTGCTGTGAGATGCCCCGCTGGCAACGGACTGTGCACAGATCCATTTGCTTTAAAGTCCTGTCGCGCCCCGCGCATACTATCAGCTCCATACTCGCTTCTCTCTGTGCTTCCTGCTACCCCACATACTGTTTTCTTAGAGAGATACTCGCCAGACAACCACACATTTGCCAGGTAACATACCATCATGGATTTCCTCAAGAAGAAGATGAAGGAGCTCATGGATGACGACGACAAGAAGCCAGCCGGTAAGTAACTCTATAACAAATAAAGAGACGAAGTACTTATTTGGATAGACTCTCAGGCTGCTCCCGGTGGTGCTGGCCCCGGTGATCGCGCGCTTTCTGATAGTTACTATGGAGGTGGACAAGGCGGCCCTCCCCAAGACCAAGGTTACCCGCCTCAGGGTCCTCCTCAGGGTCAAGGATATCCACCCCAAGGATATCCGCCTCAAGGTCAAGGTTACCCACCTCAGGGCTATCCACAACAGCAGCCTTATGGCGGCGCCCCCACACCCACAGGTCCACCAGCGCCGTACGGAGCGCCTCCGCCGATGCCACCGGGCTGGACTCAGCAATGGGACCAGAACAGCCAACGATGGTTCTACATTGAGCAAGCAACTGGTCGCACGCAATGGGACCCTCCTTCGCATATGCCACCTGGTCCATATGCCCCACCCGCAGCAGGCGCACCCTACATGCCGCCAGCCGGTCATGATGAGCGCGGCCTATTCGGCAACACCCACGGCCACCAGGGACACGACTACACGCAGTCCGGAGCTGCCACGAACGAGGCCGAGAAGAAGAAGGGTCATTCTGGTGCCATGCTCGCCGCTGCTGGTGTCGGAGGTATCGCAGCCGGTGCCTTCATTGGCCACCAACTCGGTATGTTGCTTCCGTATATGTAACATGCGGCAGCGCGACTAACATCTCCCAGCCGACGACAGCAGCGACGACGAGAAGCAGCAGTCGTATGCGCCTCCAGCGGCGGCTCCCGCAGCTGCTGCAGGCGGCTACGGTGCTGACCCTGGTTACGGGGCTGATCCCGCCTACGGCGCTCCTCCCCCAGCAGACCCTAATGACTATGACAACCACCCGGCCTTTGAGGAGCCTCCTCCCGTTCCTACCCATGACTCCGACGGTGACTCCATCTCAAGTAGTGACCGTGAGTCTATGGAGGAGAAGCGCGAGGAGCTCATCGAGGCGCAGGAGGAGTATCAGGAGGAACTCGAAGAGAACTACGACGACTAAGCGCAGGAACTTCGTTCGTTCGTCGATCGATCGATCGGTGCGTGGGAAAAGGGGAGGATCACCAGTGTAACGACAGGTATTTTCTAAGACTTATGAGCCACGAGTATTGTTAGCATGGTGCAAAGAAGAAAGGATCAGCCAACTTGTGATTCTCTCACTCGGACTCAAAGGAAAACGGTTTCAGATTTGTACAAACTAAGGCAATACCACTTAACTCCATCGTCACTGCAGTGACGAGCCGAGGGCTATTATTCCGTACCTCTCCACTGTTGTGCTCCCATCGAAAACCCATGGATATCCGCGCCCTTACAACCAGAGAACGTAGTGAGCGTGTATTCATCCCTTTCCCTCTAAACCATCGTCTTCACCGTGTCGCATGTTGTAGTGAGCGTGGCTAGCAGCAGTCGCAGCAGTCCAGGCAATCGAGGCAGCATTCGCATGTCTCACCGCAGAGCCAGCAGCAGCACAAGGTCGCAAGACTAGTCGTCGCATTAGCTCTGTCCCTCTTCTTCAATCATGCAACTCCCAGCCAGTGTTGCGAAAAGGAAGAAGACACTTACCAAGCAGTCAAGCATCCCCTCTCCTTCTTGGGCTCCTCTTGTGGCGGCGGTGGTCCTTGTTGGTAGTACATCTAATTCACGAACAGCGTCAGCCACACCACGAATCAACGCAAACTTGCAATTGCACGTTGTGATAATAGATGAGACTTACCTGTTGCTGAGGCGGCGGGTATTGCCCATAGCCCGGCTGCGGAGGGCCATAGTAGCCAGGTTGTTGGGGAGCAGGGTAGCTCATATTTAATAATTTGGTGTTGTAGACCTGACGTTGGAATAGAGATGCGGGCTCGTGGCTGGTGAAGCGTCTAGCTCGTGGGTGTGGCAAGTGAAGAGAGGCTGGTGTTGAGGGTGTACTGTGGCAGAGGAGTGTGGCAGACGATATGTGTGGCACAGCAAAGTGGAACTTTTAGGGGGACCAACCCGTGTCTTTTAAGATTGCACGTCTTGACGCGCCTGGCTATTGCTTTCGGGAAACGGCAACACCGGATCTGCGAGGTAAGGGGTGCGAGAGGCTATGCACGACCCAACGTGCTCATCGTAATTCACCGCGTCCATGCCGGTATACGTTCCGTTCTTTTGGACGGCTGCGGGTGAGCTTTGCTAGGCGCCACATGTGTGGCAGTCAGGGCGCGTAGCTGTGGCATCTGCTCGGGCTTGCTGAGGCATGAGTGGGACCAGGCAAGCCACTGCTGTTACGATAGACGCACGACCCTTGTCATACGCGTATGCAAAGTCTTGGTATGTAAGGCGCATGACTTGATAACGTTTCGTTCTGCGTGCGAAAGATAAGATCTACGCTGCTTTGCTACTTGATGCGGTATTGCCATCATGTCTGTCCAGAATGCGAGAAACAGTAGATTAACAACCCACGTATAGGTTTTCGATACTTCCTACCACTAATCCGGGAGAAGCGTGAGCTGAAATGACCTTTTCGTGAATGGCACATGTGAGGTGCTGTTGGGTTGCATATGCGAGCTTGCCGTCTGTTCCGGACGCTAGTGACCAATATAGCTTAGTTGTGGCGCCACTTTTCAACAGGCAATATTAGACGGGCCAGTCAAGTGGCTCAGTCGTTTGTCCCCTTGGCATGACAGCAGCGACGAAGCTGGTGCTCTGACGATATCATGCCTACCAGATTTCTGCCACGAACCTACTTGTGAGGCCTGATACGAAGACAAAAACACCGCCAAGAGATCCGAAAGCTACTGTGGTATCGATGCCGGGGACCTTGGGCGGCGCGGATGCGTCCGGCGCCAAGTCAGCATGTACGCCGTCGGCGACCAAGTGGAGAGTTTGCGGTCCGAAAAGCGATGTTTGTCACTCTGGTTGGGAGCCGGCTTGGCGGTAAAAGTACTTTGAGGGCAGTCAACTAACCAACATGGCGACTTCTTGTGGCGCAGGTGAGGCGCAATCTTGATACAAGCAATGGGATCCCAGGATTGTCAGTACCAAACAAACGGGTCGATCCGTATGACAGCTCTTCGTTTCGTGCTGTTAGACGACGCGTGGCTTGGTAGACAGCAGAAAAGCGGCTCGTAGAAGTCGTAGTGTGGAACTCGAAAGGGGCGCACGTGGATGATCTTTCGCTCGTTTGAACAGTTGAGACGTTGCGCTGTCGAGTCTTTCACGAAAAGTAGCGAAGACTGCCGTGATTGACAACCCGTGGGGTTACGGTACGTCGTCACCGGATTCCTATGCTTCCGCTGGCCGAGGCACAAAGCCCCGTTCGGCTCTTCGCTTCTGCACCCACTCGCCGAAGGGTTTCCAGATAGCCTCTTTCTCGGCCGGCTTCAGACTTGCCGCTAGACCGCTCGTGCTCGTAGTAACAAACACCCTGGACCCATTCCATATATTGCCATCGGCATCCTGCTCTTCCTGGCCATCCTCGCTCTTGCCCATGTTGTGCTCCTCATCCTGCCACCCATACTTGAAATCCTTTTTGCCGATGTTCTTGCCATAGCGATACCGCCAGATAGCTTCCCATATACCCTTCCCTACTATACACACAGCCTCTGGCTTGAACTTGAGGAACTTGGCATCCAGCTGTGCTGTGCCGGCCGTAGTCTCCTCTTTCGAGAGCTCGGCAGCGTCTTTGGAGGGTCTCTCGACGATGTTGGTATTACCCATGCAATAAAGAGCAGGGAGACTCCGATCTTCCTCAGGCTTCAGTCGACGGTCGGTAAGTCCTGAGGAGTGGAGCAGCTTCCAGAATAGGTTTGAGGGATGGGCATAAGCATGCCCTGCAGCGGCCGTCTGAACACCTGGATTCGTGCCAACGAAGACACAGATCAGATTAGGCTCTAGTATATCGACCAGCGGCGACAGATGTGCGTATTTGGATGGGTCAGCATATTTGCTGGGTTTCCTCTTCTTCTTCGGTCGTGGGGAGAGTTCCGGTGCGGTCTTTACGGCCGCCGTCACAGCAGTCCTAGTGCGCTTTCTAGGTTCTATCGGCGATCTGGGTGGCGGTCCAGTACGTTGCTCCGTCCGCGTTTCGGTGTACTGGAACTTCTTCAGTCGGTCTTGGAAGGATGCAGATGGTGTCGCCAGCTGATCATCGGGTTCTTTGACATCATCGTCACTCAGAACTGGTGGAACTGCTTCAGCGTTCTCGCTATACCGCTGATTTGAGCGTGTGCGAGCCATGCGTGTTGCGTTGTGCCTAAAATTTAGAAGGAACGCGGTAATGGCAAGTCGCGTCCCTTCGAGATCCAGACGCGTTGACGTCATCGGACCCACTTCGCGGAGAGCCAATCGCTACCTGTGCACTCGAACAGCACCCACCGCGACGCAGCCTTCACGAGACAGTTCTGTATGTACGCATGCATTCATTTCGGAGATATTTACTAATGTACAATTGAGGCATACCCGCTTGTCCTTCTCTTGATACCTTTCACGGCCCTTGGATGTACCTGGTTCCACCTCTTTGACAACCGTGAGTGTAGAGAAAGCCACACGGTATACATCTTCGTATGTACGGTAGATGGAGATGATGATGCTGTTGCGTCTTGGCGGCATCGTCTCATCAAGCACATTTCAACTAAAACCCCCGGTCCAAAGCTGGTCGCAACAATGTTCTCTCTACCTTCCCCCATTCGGCGAAGTTTGTCCAACACGATGAGCACGGTCGGGCTGGACGAGTTCCCATAGTTATGATACACGTCGAGGGAAGCTCGGATGTGGTCGTCGTTGAGTTGCAGAGCTTGCTTGGCCCCCTGTAGGATGGTCGCACCGCCAGGGTGAATAGCCCAATCGAAGTTCGAAGCAGGACTGCGGGTCACCGATGCAGCGACGTGAGTAGTATTGAGGGTGGCACGCAGTCGATCGAACAAGGGTAAAATGGCGTCGATGGCTGTACCTGGGACGTGTTTGCTGATAGTAGCTATCATACCTGCTGATGTATTAGCATCAACTCAAAGCAATAGAAACGCAACACTGGACGTTACAGGAACATACCATGCTTCTCGATATCGTACGAGATGTAGCTCGAAGTACCCGGCACGACTACGCTGTCCCAATCCTCCAGTTCGAACACTGGCTTTTGCTCGTCTTCCAGCGCAAGGCCGTTGCATACTGCTAGCGCCGCTGCGCCATCGGAGAATAAAGCCGGGGCTACGTGTAGCTTATCGTCTTCACAGGCCGCTTGGACCTCTGCTTGAATAGAGAGACTGCATAGCTCACACGCCATCACCAGGACGCGAGCGTGCCGTCCTCTTTGTGATGCGGCAGCGGCGATGCTAGCAGCTGCACGAAGCGCTGATAGACCGCCTGCGCATCCCACGCCATGAAGTAGCACTCGTTGCACGTTTGGACCAAGCCCAAGCTCCTGGCATACAAAGAGATCATAGCCGGGGTTGCTCTGATCAGTGCAAGTCACTGCTACCGTGTGCGTTATGTCGCCGGGCTCAAGGCAAGCTTCTCGCATAGCCTCTTTGCAGGCCGAGGTGGTGAGCTGCACACCTTTTGTCCGGAACATTCGGGAGATGGAGTCGGCATCCGGCGGTGCAGTGTTCTCTTTGGTCCATCCTGCGTAGTCGAGGATAGTTGGGCGGGAGACGATCTTGGTTTTCTTGTTGAACTGGATGAGCTTCTGGATACTGGCGAGGCTATTAGCATTGGACGAATAGTTCCTATGGAAGACACTGGATGACTGACGCTGGTGAAGTTACTTCATCGGGGCACAAGCGCTGCAAAAAGTCCTCAAACTGCTCCTGTCTTACCGAATGGGGCGGGTACTCATGGCCCAGGCCAATGATGTATATAGCATTGGTTTTGCTACTGCGTGACATACCGTTCACTGAAGACATTTCCCTCTTGGATCAAAACCGACTGCGACACGGAGGGCGTAAGCTTATCACTCTCTACCCCCTTACACCCATCCCGTCACCCCATAGCAGATGCGCTCTTCGCACCTACACCCATTCGCGATGTGCAGTCCAGACTCCGCCACTCTTGACTCACCCGTAGCCCGGAGTTCTGAACACATCCATACGAAGACTTGGTATACCATGGCCTAGCTGAACAACCTTGTGATTTACGGGCTGAAGAGGTCTTCACCGGCCAGTGAGCACTACTTTTACCTTTAGCGATGTGAAAATAGCCTACCGCTAGCGAGTAAGACATGAGATGGGTGTAATTTCGCTAGATCTGCTGCAGCCTCAGCACACCCGCGAAGACTTGGTATGCCACCAACAAGTTCCACTCGCCAACGAAATGCGGCCTATTCGGAGTCTTCGAGCATTGTGGCAGCACAAAACCGGCTCGTATGCCGTCAATAGCACGCCGCTGACGGGGCGAAAATGGTGAAGCCTCAGTGTTCGCGTTCCTACATTCTGTGCTCTCGCGAAGAAATACCTCATTAGGCATCCAGAAAGGGCTTCTCGACACCTAAATGTTAAGATTGTCGAAGATCATGTTGCTCCTCCTTTGTTCGATTATCACGCTGTGATCCTGCCGCTGCGTTCGGACATTTTCTTTGTTGAAATATCCCCCCTTGGTAACGCAGCTATGACCAATCATGGAAATGGAAATAAGAAATTATACATAATTTCTCAGGCCTTCATAGGGGGCCGCAGAGATCATTGAGGAACTCCGGTGAGTCGTCTGAGCTTCTCATACGTGAACAAGGCGGGAGAAAGAAGTGCACTAGGCGCTGGCGCTTGCCAAAGTCGCTAGCGAACCTTTCAGTCGACGATGTGTCTATCTCGCCGACCTCCATGGTCCCCAGCAATCGTGTTCGGCCGTGTTGGCGCCTTGAACATCTACCAATAGGTTGATGTGATAACGAAGACCGTCGAAAATGGACTACTGGTTGAGTCCGCATAATACTAGCCTGAAATCTCTCGATCCAAGCGAGCGCCACAAGACTGCCTGACCGGGGCATGCGAAGTGAGGGCCTATCGAACCAGCTAATGCCTCGCGATCTATTGTGAATTCTACCACCGGGAGGGGCGAGTACGCAAACGGGATAAGGAGGACGAGGAGACCCCAGATCTAACGATTGACTCCGGGTCAGTGCCAAGAGATAATGCGACGACAGAGGTGGTTCGACTACATATGAAGCTAGTGCGTGCCGCGTTCGCTCGCCTTGCTTCTAGCAGCTGAAAATTCGTCATTTCTAGGGTGGTAAGCGTAGTCAGCGTGTACGATCTGGTACCCATTGAACCGTACGAGCCTCTCCACTATCAACAACATCGCCAAGAAGTCGTGTCACTACCGTCACACGGGGTAGAGGGCGGAGTTCACTGTCCGGGTGTGCTCTAGTACTTTTCCGGCGCGGAGATGATCTCCTTGAACGTCCAGAGACGTGTAGTCGAGGTTATGGATTAGGATGGGGCCGCAGGATAATTTGAGTTGCAGAAGGATTCGAGCTGTAAGCGAGGAGGACGTTCCCGAGGGGGTGTGGGTGTGGAGGACACGATACCCGGTTCGATGTCGAGATAAAGGTGTGGATGAATCCCGGTAAGAACGTGGCACGGTCCCCATTTGTAGTGACAGATCTTAATCGCGGTTACTGCTGATGTTGTGATGGATGTTGGTGGAGAAAAGTCGTGACGTGCAGTGCGAGGAGATCTACTCCTGACCAATCGATGGCGGATATGATGAGAAATGGATTCAGAGGGTCAGAGGGGTCGCATTTATCTTCGCGATCGATTGGCGACAAATCGTGTGCGGCTTACGGTGTGAGCAGAACGCGATTCAGGGCGTATGTAAGCGCCGTCTTACCTGGATGTGGCACAGCAAACGCATGTCAGATGCCATCAAACGTCGCCGTCGACAAACCTGGACAGAAATGGGGTCCTAGATCGACTGTAGTTGTGTGCCATCATCGTGCTTCCCGTTATTGTTGAGAGTGCTGTGCCGCATGCGGGGGTTCTGCCAATCCGCGGTCCGAACCGTAGTGGGTGTACTAAAGTCGTCGGATGGTTCGCATCTGGTATATTGAGCTCTTTCCCGGGAAATGTGTTGGGTCCCAGGTCATCAACGGGCGGAAAGCACAAGGACTTCCGGTGTCCATGGGTAGGTACCTAAAGAGTGGGGCGTAAGCACGTGACCATAATCACCTTCACACCAATGCACACTTCAGCTCGGCGAAAGCGGCGAAGAGGGGCCAAAGAGATGTGCGTGTGATCCAATGGAGAGGGCTGGGTTGTATGTCAGATGCTTACAATGTGCAACTAATGTTAGAGGGTCTCGCACAAAGCAGGAGCCCTTGCGAAGATGTCGCTGAAACCTACATGCGTCCGGCGAGCTCGGTGTTTAAGGCGGTCAGTTAGGCCTCAACTCGGGTCATTTCATATCGGCGACTGCGGCGTTGCTTTCGGGCTTATGCTGCCAGAGGTTGCGTCTTTGAAGTGATTGCTGCTGTTTTCGCTTCCCACAGGATCCGTGCCATGCGCAATGCTTTCCTAATCCGGATTACTTCGCGTGGCGGCCAGACTAGTGTAGGATGTACCGCGAAAGCACTCGCGAAAAGCATCGTTGCCAGTTAGCACTCACGTGGTTACCTGTGTGCATTTGCGAAGTGGGTTCGAGTTTTGAGCGAGACACCGCTGCTTTGGAGTATATATCCTGGGAACTAGCATGCCATCAAAACATACTTTCCGATAGCGCTGTCGATCACAAAGAGAAACATGATGGTTATGGACAGATTCGACGACGTCTCATACGGGTTTGAGATGATGCGACAGCAGAATTTTGGATGGAACAGCGAAGTCCTTGTGGAGCAACTTAAGAAGCAGTGAGTGACGAATGCGACTACGACCCGGTCAGGACTAATTTGCCAGAAACGACAGCCAAAAACCTCGCACACCTCGAGTCGAAGAGTTGGCTTCAGACATCTATACACGTCTACCACGTGAGCTCCGCAACCGGGTGTATGCGTTCTGCGTCCAGGGATCCTATGACAACGAAGTCATCGTCCGGCGCACAGCAACCGGAAACGGCCGACGCTTCGCGCACCTCATCCGACAGGCGTGCGGCCAGCATTCCTACCAGTGGATCGAAGACCCCACCGCAGCCTACATGAGTGCAGAAGGTCTGGGTAGTGAGGTTGCTAGAGAATTGCTCGAATGCTACTACTGGACACGTACATTCAAGTTTGCCCATCACGAGCTCTTTCTGCTCAAACCGTTTCTTGTCACAGATGGTTTCGGGCTGGGAATGATTCCAGCGCATTACGCAAGACGCTTGCACATACAGATTCGGCCGCTTGACTTTGCGTTTCTGTTGCCGGAGAAGCGGCTGTTTGAAGAGCGACGGTATTGCAAAACCATTGAGGGCCTCACTGTCATCAAGACCGCTCGTACAGAGGTCGTAATCGAAGTCGACTTAGCGCAAGGATCTCTGGGAGATGGTGATTATGAGCGCTTCTCCTACGAAGTTGCGCAGTTCATGTTGAGGATAAGAAGTGTGGTAGAGACTCTCCAAGAGACGGGACTACGCATACATCTCGCGACCATTTAACCTCGAATTTCCGAGGTTATCCGCTTATTTTTGATTTTATGAAGCATAGACTTTACATTAGCGTAGGAGTCAATGGAGGAATCAGGACACTTGTGCCTATAGGTAGTGCAGCTGTCTTTTGTGTGCTCCTTCTGATATGATCGGTATAATTTCCATCTCCGTAAGAAGTTTTGGTGGCGTGGCCAGGCGTAATTAGGCTTGCCGTGTTTCGTCTCTTATTGCTGCCATGCGATCCGTGGCTAGGCAATGGCTTCTGGCCCGCACAAAGGCCGAAAATGATCCCCGAGCGACACCATCAGTGGATATCTTTGGTTGGACGCTTTTGTGAGCTTCAAGGGATGATAAAGTGAGATGGGAAGCTGGTGTTGGTGAAAGAAGCTTGATGGAAGCTGCGTTGACCAGACGTGGGCCGAAGGATACAGACGCTAGCCAGCGACAGGGGCCAAAGGATCGCGACTCCTCTCCACCAACGCAGCTTGGCTTAAGCCACGATGCAACATCGTGACGATCAGCCAATCCCAGTATCTCAACCCAAGAGCCTAGACTGATCGTTTCTTTCTCGCAGATAGGACTGCGCGACAAATGCACGTTTCACGCGCTGTACGTAATTGTCAACTGCTATCGCAACTGCTCCATTTTTCGTTGAAACTAGGAGTTCCATATACATACTAGCATCTACAGACCATATATGCTGTCTTTGTCGAAGAACACAAGTACTGCTTCACTACCCCTCACGTTCACTACAGCATCTGTCCCAACCGCTTCAACAACCACGTTGCCCATCGGCTCACCCTGAGGAAATGATTGTCCAGCCCAAGATGTCAAGGAGCTATTCCCAGTGTTCACGAATAGTGCCGTCAATCTCTTTACACCTAAGCATCCGCCATCGGAACCCACAGCGCCCGATAGATCAACATGTACCGAGAAGTCTTCGGTCGAGTTAGCGTAGAAAGGCTTCATATTGACGAGTGCTAGCTTGGACAGGTGATCGTCGACGTAGAACGCATATGCAGAGAACGACTCTGGATCGACGCCAGCAGGTGGCTCGAGAGCGCGAACCCGAGTGTCAGGCACAGCAAAGGCCTCAGCCATGAATAGCTGCGCGAGGAAAGAGGGCAGAGTTCGTGCCGGTCCTCTCAACTCGGTGTCGCGAGGGTATAGCATTGAGTAAGTGCTGAAACCTGGACTACCGTTTGCACCAGGCGTGTTGAGCTGTTCGTCCGACTGGAGAGCAAGTGTAGCACCCTGGTGTAGATGCGTGGAACTGGCGTTCCTTGTCGCGTAGATTAGCTCGCTATCAAT